TGTATATATGTTAAGTACTAGTAGGCTAATATGTATATTAATATTATATTAAGTTTTTAAGTATTGTAGTCTCCTACAACTAGAATTATTATTTATAATACAAGTTATTAGTTAAGTGTTTAAGTAGTAGTCATATTGTTCCAGATAACCTAATTCAATATATTTTTCTATCTCTCTCTGTCGACAATCCCTCCTTTCTCCCAAACAAAAATAAAACCCTAGCAGTTTCTTCTTATCAATTAATTTCAAGAATTAGATGTCAAGATCATCAAGCTTAGGTGATTGCTTTTGGGCATTATTAGAGGTAAGATTTATGTTCACTAAAATTTCTTTTGCCCCAAATCAAAAATCACTTTTCCTATGTGTTTATGTGATTCATGATTTTAATGAATATGTGATATTTAATGTGTAAGTTATTTGATCATATTATGGGAGTAGATATGTGATTTAAGTTGTTTTGGAATCCCTGCATATGTGATATATGGTCATTTTAGAGTGTATGAAGGAAGAATTTTTTATTAGTGTAGTCACTATTTGAGAAAATTCTGACTGGCGCAGATGGAAATAAAAATTCGTGAAAAATCCTTCATAAACATATTTTTGCTTGAAGTTTTTTATGGATAACCTAGACTTGTTATATTTGATGTTTGTAAAAAGTTTTGGTTAAAAATATGTTTCGGTTTTTCCAGAAAAATTTCGTAAAGTTGAGGTAGTGTACTGCCAGTTTAATTTCTGTTTGGCGCAGTGTTGGGAAATATTTCGGGAAAAATACTTCTATGCCTTGGATTGACTTGAAATTTTTTGTGTGTAATCTAGACTTACTGTACCAATTATCTGGGAAATTTCATATGAAAATATGTTACCGATTTTTCTCAGTAAATTCTGCAATTCAGGTCATAGTTTCTGAAAATTTTTGTCAGTTTCTTATTTGAGATATTGAGAAGTTGCTTGCTTGTGAAATATTTGTTATAAAAACTTATATTGAATTAACTTTGGTCATGGAGGATTTGTACTTGGATTTTTATTGTGAGGTTGGTCTCTCACTTTTGAAATATTTGGTATAAAAACTTATATTGAATTAACTTTGGTCATGGAGGATTTGTACTTGGATTTTTATTGTGAGGTTTGTAACACCCCGTGTTACGACCCCTAACCCTAACAAAGTATTTAATCACTTGCCCTAAAAGGAGAATTAAAACCCCATTAATCAACTAAGAAAGGCCCACCATAGTCCATGGGTCCACATCCCTATAACCAACTCCTTAGTTCTATAAGGAATAGAATTAGCAAGCCCATAGTGTTTAGACCCCAATTGGGACTCTTAGGAATATATATAAATATAGGGTCATAGGAGGCACCTAGATCTTACACCACAATAATCTCTCACCACACAAGGAGTTCCAAGAATCCCCTTTAGGAGAAATCAAGAAAGAAGAAAGCTTAAAGGAAGACCCTTCATAGCCAAGGAAATTAATTAAGGCTAAGAGGTAACCCATGTCTCAACAAAACCTATTTTCTTAGCTATGATCTCCCTCTTAGGCCTCCCTCTATATTCTCGTGTCTTGATGAATTCTTCTATGATAATTGTGTTATGATCTTGTTGATTGATAAGATGATTTATATGCCTTCTTGATGATCTTGATGTTGAAAAGAAGTTCTTGATTTTGATATAATGATTCTTGACGAATCTTGATATTTCTTGATATTAAAGATAAAGTATGTTCTGGATGGTTTGGGCGGGATTAAAGCCCTAGGATGAATTGGGAATTTGCATTGTGATGTTCTTGATTTATATTTGGGTGGGAATTCGCATTTCGGGTGTTGTTTATGTTTAGAAGTCGTGATAGGATGAGTCGTATGTGATTCTTGCTTTTGATCCGTTATTTGACTACGTGCTGTCGTTAATTGCGTTTGAAAGTGTCCAAGCATGGTTTCGGGTTCCACAAAGGTCCCCTGGACGAAATTATGGTAAATGAGTCAGTGGGGGGTAGGTGGGGGTAGGGGAACCCGCCACCTACCCGCTGCCCAGAATCACCGCCGGGCAGCGGGTAGCCGCCGGGCAGTCACCTGCCCACCGGCAACCCGCTGCCGGAACAGTGAATTCCAGCGGGCAGTCGGCGGGTGACCCCCACCCACTGGCTACCCGCTGGCCCGTACCCCACCCCGGGACTCCGGCTTCCCCGTTTGATGTTCCCCATTCCCCACGGTGTCCCAACGGACCCCGTTTGTCGTGTTCGAGTCTAGTTTGATATTCCGGGTACCATTCGTAGGTTAAACGAGTCTTAGGAATTGCATGCTAGTTGAATCGGTAACTCGTTGGCCTAGGTGGAAGTTGTATGAACCCTTAGGACTATTCTTAGTATGTGAATGATCACACGTAAGATTATTTATATGTCTCTCCCCTCCCAATGTGTTATTACGTGCTCCTATGTGTTATGTGTTGCATGATTCCCCATTTTGGTTATAGGCCAATTGGGTGGTTCCCGGACTAAGGTTCGGAAGTCGGTTGAAGACCAAATGGATATTTCCCGGACTAAGGTTCGGAAGTCGGTTGAAGACCAAATGGATATTTCCCGGACTAAAGGTTCGGAAGTGGCTGAAGGCCAATGGATTTACTTCTTGGACTACAGGTCCAACTATGGGCCTCGGTGCTATGACCCACCGGACCTGAACGCACCAGGACGGTGTGTAGGGATAATAAGCCGAGGAAGGCTGTAGTCCACCGACCTGAGTAATCAGGCGGTGTGTAGGGCTACGGCTGGCTGCGATCCACCGAACGATGGGACAGCGGTGTGTAGGGCCATAGTCTCCGAGGATCTTCGCCCACCTACTGAGTACAGCTCAGGGGTAAGCCGGGCTTAGATCCGCTATGGTCCACCGATTGTGCGCATCGACGGTGTGTAGGGTCGTATGTCCCCCCTTGTAAAGGGGATCGCGGTCCACCGACTGGGTGCGTCAGCGGTGTGTAGGATCGTGATCCGACGTTGAGTTCGTCAACGGTTCTAAAAGGGTTGGTTGCGATCAACTCCCCTCATACCGCGGTATTGAGGTAGGGTGCTGCGGGGCCGTGTTAATGCTATACGCATTAACCCTCATGTTCGGGGCATGCGATTGGTCCCGTGGCGCCATCATTGAGTATGTGCTATGAATGATGATATGATGAAATCGGAAAGGGAACTGTGACCTTTGATGTGCATTTCTATGATGATATCTCTACTTAGCTATCTATTACTGTTAACATGCTTACCACTACTTGTCGAGTCTATTCCCGGTTTTAAAGGCTAGAGTCTCCTGAGTATATCTTCCTGCTTCAAAATGGTTTTCCTATATCTGTATCTATACATATTGTATTTCAACACGTTGGAGTGGGTTACCAACATCTCTCGCTGAACAGATATATTTGGCTTTCAAGCACAGATGAGTAGACACCGGAGCGCGCTAGAGACGTGAATCGTAGAGTAGATAGTTCCCTTCGGCCTGCGTGCCATATTTATGTATTGACATTATTGAGGATCCTAGTTAGTTTGCCTGTGCACTTGGGTTCTCTAGCCCAGGTGTGGCATAGCACCCCATACTCTTATATTATGTTTCCGGGATTTTATAAGGATTACCTTTATTATATAAGTTTTAAATGTTCTAAAATTCTGGGGTGTTACAGTTGGTATCAGAGCCTAAGTTTGACCCTAGGATAAGACTCTTAAGACCAGACTTTAGGACATTAGACTTGAACTCTAGGTATTCAGGGACATAAGACTCGGGAATCTTAGGACGCGCAGTGAGATTGTGAGCCTACCCACCACCATCACATAACATCGTATTGGTTTAAAGAGCCTAGTGGTTGCTACTCTGTGAAAAGTGGATATAGGAGCCTTAGGGGTGAATTTGGTGCATCCCCTAATGCTTTTACCAATTGGAATTCTTTGTGGAAGTTCCCCCAAAATGGAAGACTTTCTTATAGAGAGCTATTAGTGGTATTCTCCCAACCACTATTACTCTTCTTATAAGGAGAGTTGATGTGAACCCCTCATGCCCCATGTGTGCCTCTTATCACGAAGAAATCATGCATTCACTTATGGAGTGTGAATTTGCCAAGCTTGTTTGACATGAATCCCATCTCCCTATCTCTATTGTCTTTGGTGGTAATTTTTCAGAATGGTTCTAAAATGCCATGTCCGTGTTAACTCCTGCAATTGTGGTGAAGGTTGTGGCAGCCCTTTATCATATTTGGATGGCGCGTAACGGGTCCATGTGGAATTGTGCTTGCAGCAGCCGGCTAAGGTGCGAAAGAGTGATGTTGCTGCTCTCTCGGCTTAGGTATGCGCAACGGTTGGTCATCAGGCGGTAGCTCCTCGGCAGCGGCCCCTGCCCCAAGCCACGACGGCGCGATGTTAGTTCGATGCAAGTTGCTCGGTGGCAGACAGGACAACAGCGTACGGGATCGTCCTCCTCTCGTCAAAGGGCCAATTACTTGTGACATCTAATGGTAAGCTATTGCTCAAATCCTCTTACGGCGGAGACGCTAGCATGTAAAGAGGCCCTATCGTGGTTGAAGGATCGTGGTGTTTCTACGGTAGCTTTACACACTGATTGCTCTGCTCTGCACCGCTACATTACTACATCAATTACCAAACCAAGATCGTATGTTGGGATCGCGATTGATGATTGTTTACGTTTAATTGCTTCTTTTATTTCATGCCCTTTATTTTTAGTTCCTAGACAATTAAATGTGATTGCTCATACTTTAACTTCTAAAGTTTCTGCTCAGGCTAGTTCATTGTACTGGCACTCTGTCCCCCCTAGACTTTGTTAAACTTTTTTGCATTAATATATTCTAGCCATTATGCTTTCAAAAAAAAAAAAAAAAATCTAACACTTAAACAATGAGATAGAAGGAGGGTATGATTTAAAAAAAAATATATTTACAAACCACTAAAATTGTCCTATGAATCAAAATTTAATATTTGAATGGATGCATTGGTGGATGGTGGAGAGTCGAGAGACACAAAAACACCCACCATTTTTGCTTTGAAGAAGGAGAAAACAAAAATAAATTAGAAAAAAAAGGAAATAAATAAATGTAATATTCATTTGTCAGTTTTTTCAGTTAAAGAGCTGAGGAGAGGAACGGTTGTGTCGCGCTCTCTCCTTGTTTTTTAATCCCTAAAAGAGCCAGTGGAAGCGGTGGCGGTGGCGGGTGTGGGAGCGGCGGAGCTAGTCCTCATCGGCTGGTGAGTGGTGGCGCGCTGTCCAATTACTTAATTAACCCTGCCCCCGTTGCTTATTCGATTAATTTTATGATCATCACGCCATAATATAATGGCTCCCCAACTTCCCCCCGACGCCGCCGTTGGCGGCGGCATTCTCACCGTCGTCGCGGTCGACAAAGACAAGCACAGCGCCTCCGCCGTGAAATGGGCGGTCGATTGTCTCCTCGTCAACAACAATATCACTCTCATCCTGGTCCACGTCCGGACCAAAAGCTCAGCACACCGTAGGTATCCTCTTTCAATTCTTCTTTAATTTTCACATCGTTTTTTTTTTTTTTTTTTTTTTTGGGTTAATTGGATCCTCAGATTAAATGATTCTCGAAGGAAATTGGGGAATTCTGTCACCATTAAATTAGTTTTCAACAAATTTGGGACACATAAATTGTCAACTTTTATGGCATTTTTGCATCAATATTGTTTAATGGAATGAAACCTTGGTATTCGAGCAGATAATTCTTCTCCAGATGCAAATGGTGGAGCAAGCGATCAGGATTCCCAATCCGTTTTTACACCCTTCCGCGCATACTCTGCACGTAAAGGGGTATATGTTAAAGAGTGACAAATTTGCAATTCTTTTACTTTGTGTGTGTATATATATATATATATATATATATATATATATATTAAGATCAGAATGAGAACCCTCATCGCATGAGAACCTACAAACAAAACTATTTCAGGGTAGATTGTGTGTATTGTGTACTGGAATATGAGATTGTGTCCATTTATGTAGATGCTTGTGTGCACTTATGTACAACTAAGCAGGTTCTCACGGGAGAAGGTTCTCATTGGAATACCACCCATGATTTAGACTTCAGAGTAAACATAAACTTGATATAATATGCTTTTAAAAAGTTCTTCCAAAAGGTTGAACCCCAATCCTAAGGCCCCCACACTCTGACCCGACAGAGCATCTGGGAGGATGTAAATCATGGTAACACAATTGAACATTAACCCTAGAGGCTAGACCTTTGCAACTAAATTATGTCATATTAGGAAAGATTTGATCAAATTTTGTCCAAATTGTATTTTCCTTCTCTTATGGTGTCATAGTTATCCATTGGAAGGGAATACCAATGCAATACAAAATAAATTTGGTAAAAATTTACTTGACATGATAAGATTTGATAGGGCACATCTTAATTAAAGTTGATGTTTCCTCATTATATTTATGTTATCATAGTTAGTTATCCATTGGAAAGGAATCCAAGTGCATATGCATGTGTTAGGATAAAACGCTTTCCATTACGCCAAAAGCTATAACTGATACTCTGATAGCGAAGGCGCAATTTTATTTCCTTATACACATCTGTTGGGTGCTGGACTTGGGCCACTTGGCCTTTACCGGCCTCTGCCCAACAATCCCCCAACCACCGGGTGTAGACTTGGCATTTACTGGCCTCCGCCCAACAGCATGGCACATTAACAATCTTGAATTTGATCCTTCTGATTATGAAATTTTGGCTAATATAAATTTCTCATATAAACATTCAATGTATTTGAGGCTATATATTGCAGTTGATAGTGAAAGAGGTTATTGTTGAGGATAGTGATGTGTCCAAGGCACTTGTGGAGTACATAAACAAGTACCGCATTTCCAACATTGTTCTTGGTGCGTCAACAAGGAGCGCTATTGCCAGGTTATTCTCTTTGCAGTTTTCTCAGGCACCTGTACATGCTGCATGCATCTGGAGAATTGACAGTGGGGTGATACTTTTGCAGGAAATTTTGGACTCATGATGTGCCAACCATCATAAACAAGACTGCCCCGGATTTTTGCTCTGTGTATGTAATTTCAAAAGGCAAGCAACAATCTTTCCGGCCTGCAGCGAGACCTCTGGCATGTGCTCCATCTCAAGCACAGTTTACACCCCCTCACACAAGACCGCCTTTTAGGAACACAAGTGCTGAACTGGAGGATGTCAGGTAAAAAATAAGTAGAGAGCATATGAAAACTTGGCCAGTACAGGATTGAAGATTCTTAATGTGAAACTCTGCAACAAGTAGTTTATCATGTTATATTAAGTGATATTGACTCCAATGATTGTTAAAACAGGCACTCATCACATATGAGGGGGGAACAAAACACGAGACCTAAAAAAGGCTTGGGGACAGACAGTTTTGATGCTCCTATAAGACGGGCAAAGAATTCATCCACTCGCAATTCCCTCAGTGATAATGAAAGTGAAGTCCTTGCATCATTTCGTCAGGGTTCACTTGATCTGACAGTTCAAAATATAGACTTCACAAGAGTATCAGATGGTTCAAATGATGGAAACTCGGCTTCTGTAAGTGCAAAATTACCAGGTGGTAGATTTAAACCACACAGTCATATTTTAGTGGGCAATCCTGACTATTTTGCAATTGCCTTTTCTTAGAAAGAATACTTTCAGTTAATAAACTTTAATAATATGATGAAATTGTGCTATTGCAGAAAGATTTGGAAGCTGAGATGAAAAGACTAAAGCTAGAGCTAAAACAAACCATGGACATGTACAACACAGCTTGCAAAGAAGCTGTCTCAGCCAAGCAAATGGTATTCTATCTCAGTTAGAAAGAAAAAGAAAAATTAGGTGTTAAAGATGATAAAGCTTCTAAGAGAAGTATATAGGACTGCAACATCCCCTAGAAATCTAATTTAACGAGTGAAAAAGAACCTAATGACCAACCTGTTCTTCTGGTTTCTAAGCATGCTGGCTTCTTTGTTTCTACAGTTATTCATTTTTTCTAATGTGGAATAGGTGCTCATTGTTCTTGTGATTAGGAGGAAGTCAATTGGCTAATTGGCAGAAGAGTAGTTTTTCAAAAGAATACACATCCCAAAATTTTTAAAGAACAATTTTATAAATTCCAATTTTAATTGTTTTCAGGCTAAACAGCTTCAACAGTCGAAAATGGAAGAGGCTCGCAGGTTTGAGCAAGTTAAACTTTCTGAAGAGGCTGCTCTTGCGATGGTGGAGATGGAGAAGGCTAAATGCAAAGCTGCCATTGAAGCAGCTGAGAAAGCTCAAAAGTTAGCTGAGATGGAAGCACAAAGAGTAAAGATTGCAGAGATGAAGTCTAAGAAAGATGCACATGAAAAAAATCAAGCATTAAATTCTTTGTCTCATGATGCCCGCTACAGAAAATATGCCATAGAAGAGATTGAGGCTGCGACTGATAAATTTTCACAAGCAAAGAAAATTGGTGAAGGTGGATATGGACCTGTTTTCAAGGGAAAACTTGATCATACACCTGTTGCCATCAAAGTTCTAAGACCTGATGCTGCTCAAGGAAGGAAACAATTTCAACAAGAGGTACATAATTGCTTCCTTATCAGATTTTAAAAATTATGGTAGAAACAGGATATAGTATGGGCTCTTTTGGGCACTTTTCTCATCAATAAATTCTTTATCACCCTCAGGTTGAGATCCTCAGTCTCATTAGACATCCGAATATGGTCCTCCTCTTGGGCGCATGTCCTCAGTATGGATGTTTAGTATATGAATACATGAATTATGGTAGCTTGGAAGATCGTTTGTTTCGAAAGGGCAATACCCCTCCAATTCCATGGGGAATTCGGTTCAAGATTGCGGCAGATATTGCTACAGGTCTTTTATTCCTTCACCAATCAAAGCCAGAACCTCTTGTGCACCGAGACCTTAAGCCAGCCAACATCCTTTTAGACCGCCACTATGTCTGCAAAATCAGTGATGTTGGCTTGGCGCGGTTAGTCCCACAATCTGTAGCTGATAGTGTCACACAGTATCACATGACTTCGGCTGCTGGGACATTTTGTTACATAGACCCTGAATATCAGCAATCTGGAAGACTAGGGACTAAATCAGATATATATTCACTTGGAGTAATGTTACTTCAAATTATCACAGCAAGGCCCCCAATGGGTTTAACCCACCAAGTAGAGAAGGCTATAGAAAAGGGTACATTTGCAGAATTGTTAGATCCAACGGTGCAAGACTGGCCAATGGAAGAAACTCTTAACTTTGCAAAACTATCACTCCGCTGTGCTGAGCTCAGGAAGAGGGATAGGCCAGAGCTTAGTTCAGTAGTCTTACCGGAGCTTAACCGGCTAAAAGAACTTGGGATGGAAAGCATGCAAAAGAAATACTGGTCATAATCCTGGACCTTGCTGTTGAATTATCCTGCATTTGGCATTTGCTTCTCAAATGGAACGATCCTAAATTTTCTGCCAGGTTCGTCGTTTCTTGTGGTAGTTCCATAGGAACAGGATCAGTTAAGCATGGACCATACTACAATGCTTAAATGTTTCTTTCATTAACTAGTTTTCGTCTTGGATAAAAATTATGCATTGGGTGCATCCACCAGAATTTTTAAATCAATCATATTGGGTAATCATAGATATAGAGAATTGTTATTTTATTAATTAAGTGATAGCAATAGATGCATATAACGCATTCATAAGAATATTAAGGAAAAATCTTTTTGTTTCTAAATCATCAACTGCAAAATCATTTAGGAAATCTACTAATGGACACATACTTCAAAACATTTTAGGCACATTTACTGGAGAATGATATGAAGAAATTAAGATACCTTTCCAAAAACAAGGAAGCAAACAGCAGTAACAATTGAAGAGCAGTTTCTGGGAAACCAGGACTTGGGAGGATGGTTGCTCATCAGGAGTTGCTTCATAGGCACCCTTACTTCCTGACAAGAAGATAATTTGTGTAGACTTGAATAGAATCTGAGAACTTCTTTGTGTTCAGATCTGTTACGAAAGTAAAGAGAATATTTCTTAATATGCTGTTGTCTTATAGAAAAGAGAATACAAAGCCCTATAAATAGGTGCTAGAAGACGGAAACAAGTTTCCATATGCCTACTTACCTAAATCCCTAAGACTGCCTAATCTATAGAGATTCCATATATTAAATTAAATATATTTAATAACAAGATCATAACAGATTATGAGAAATCATTAATGTTAATCATTTCAAAACTGCATTTAATTGATAATCTACATTCTTTCTTTCCTTCTCCCAAATACTGCCTACTAAATCACTAAGCAAAGCCAGGGCTCTACATTCTTACTTTGTTTATTCTTCTTGTTGATTTTCTTCTTCTTCTTCTTGTGTGTTGAACAGATATCCATGAGGCCATTAGATAATGTTGTGACTGGTGATACCAACTTTATCTGCTATGGTGGTATAAAGCTCCCTCAAGATTCAAATTGCTAAAAGCTTATTGCAATTGGTGTTAACTCAGCTGATAAACACACACACACACACACTCCTTGTTGCAACTAATAGATTGTCAGTTTGAGACATCAATGTGTGAACTAGCCACTATTAGTTTTGATTTGCCTAGGCTTCCCAAAAGAAAATGGAAGCTTCTAGGAATATATCTTAAAATTCTAGTCCACAACAAAAGGGTATGTATGCAATGCAATTTGCCAAAACAAAACAAAAAAGAGCATAAAGTGTGACTCATAATTGGTGCCCACAAATGATGGATATTGTCAATAAAAAGGCATAACCATATTTCCAATTACTTTCCCATCAGTAGGAAGCATTGATATGATGTAGCCTTGACTGAGTCCATAAATGAATTGGAATGTGGTGAAACATTTCATAGAGAGAGGAATGCAAGTATGGTTGGGCTTGTGATGACGCACTAAGTGACTTTTAATTTAGAGTACTTTATTTTTTAAATTCTTTCTTGGGTTTGCTTCTTTCGTAAGAAAAAAAAAAAACAAGTTGTCTTAACATTCTTAATTTAGTTGGTGTCATACTTACAGAAAATTGATATTTTTCCTCCTAAATTACCTCTTAATATTCACATTTCCTAAATAAAACTTTTTTTTTTTAATATTCAGTTTATAATTTTAGTCCACCCCATCACAAATTTAAAAAATTAACATACTAATTACTCAAATAAATAAATAAATAACCATACATCAAGCTGTGAATATTTAGAGATATATGTAGGAAGGATATGTAACATCAAATGAATTACAGAAAGAAGAGGGTTGCAGCCTGTGGGTTGGTCAAAACTCAAAAGATATGAAGATTTGATCAACTTATTTTTCATGATTTTGTGGGCCTACGAATGTGGTTTCGATCCTTATGGTGAGGCCAGAAATCGTTTTGATATACGATTTTATTTTGTTTCAATTTTATTTATTATTCCTGATCCGGAAGTAACCTTTTCCTTTCCTTGGGCAGTATCTCTCAACAAGATTGATCCGTTTGGATCTTGGTCCATGATGGCCTTTTTATTGATTTTGACGATAGGATCTCTCTATGAATGGAAAAGGGGTGCTTTGGATCGGGAATAGCCACTAGTGAGAGGGCAAAAATCGGGGGGAAGGACAAAGGAAAGAGCGATGCCTACATTAAATCAATTGATTCGTCATGGTAAAGAAGAAAAACGGCGCACGGACCGTACTCGAGCTTTGGATCAATGCCCCCAAAAGCAAGGAGTATGCTCGCAAATACCTAATTCAGCTCCACGTAAGATAGCCAAAGTATGGTTGAGCAATCAACATGATATATTTGCTGACATTCCAGGCGAAGTTCATAATTTGCAGGAACATTCTATGGTCTTAATAAGAGGAGGTAGAGTGAGTGATTCGCCAGGTGTGAAATCCCATTGTATTCGAGGAGTCAAGGATTTGCTGGGAATTCCGGATCGAAGAAGAAACAGATCAAAATATGGTGCGGAAAAACCCAAATCGAGATGAATGGAAGATGCCTATGGAACTCAGTCAGGAGAGGTTTATCTCATTATCTCATTCGTATTCTGATCGAAGAAGTTTCATTCAACCAACTATCTCTTTGAAGCAGATAGTTCACAGTGCTTCTTCTTTTTAGACTTGAAAAACGAAATATATGGACGATTTTTTTCTGTCGTCTTGCCTTTTTTAAAAGAAGCTAGCGAACTTGTTGCGGTCCTACCACAAGGGCACCAGAATCTAGGGGTGTCAATACGGGCCGGCTCGCCTCATTAGGCCCGCCCCACTGCGGGCTTTTTATTTGGCAGGCCGGCCCGCGGGCTTGGAACTATACAACCCAAGCCCGCCTCATGCGGGCTTGGGGGTCTCGCGGGCTGGCCCGCGGGCCATAACTTAAATTTAAAAAAAAAACATTAAATAGTATATAAACATGTTAAAACCGCTTAAAATATGGCACCGAAAACTTCCATAAAATCCATAAACCTCGCCCAAATCTCCCGGATTGATACCGCGCGTTCAGCAGAATTGTAGAAGGGTGATCAAAGCTAGGGTTCAACAGCACACTCAATTTCTCTCTCGGCTTCAGATTTTTCCTCTACAATTTCCGTCTGTGTATAATACATATATAAATATGTATGTTTGCTAGACTTGGAGGCGATTTAGTAATTCATAAATATGTATGAATTAATGATTTAGTTTTAGTAATTATTTGATAGAGTTGGAGGTAGATGGAGACGGGAGAACCGAAGAACTACGTACTCTAGAAATTATTGAATTAAGAATTGACGAAGGATTATTGAATTATTGGATTTCTCCCCTTCTGCGTACTCTTAGATAGTTAGATCTACACATTGCCTAAGAATTAAGATATTATATATATGATTTTAAAAAAAAAAATATTATATATATAATTAATTTATTTATTTTTTAAATATGGCCTAGCCCGCGAGCCGACCCGCAACCCGCGTGGGTCTGCCCGCGCGGGCTCTGGCCCTCCGCGGACCATGACCGTTAGGCCCGCATTTTCACGAACCTAATTTCTTGCGGCCCTAACCTGCCCCATTGCGGGGCGGGTGCGGGCTAACCCGCGGGCTTCGACCCACTTTGACACCCCTGCCAGAATCCGCCACTCGAAGTGGTGGAAGGACCATCCACATTCAACGACTTACATCAATTAGAAGTGGATCATCGACTGGTTATACCAGCCAACACCAATTTACGAAATATCGTAACGTCGGTCGGTATAGCTTATTTTGTGGCACTTTCTTCAAAAGGTATGATTGTCTTGCCTCAAACAGGGCCCCCAAGAGGCCAGTCGGAGGCAGCAGAAACCGCATCTATGGGGCAAAACCAAGCTGTAGAGCAAGTTGGACCATCATCGCAGCAGTGGGAAACTAAATCACCCAGTAATCTGAATTCTTTGGATTTGCGATCTCTTGCCCCGATGTTTTGAAACGCTTCCTATGCCCAGCGATGAAGCTAGTTCGCTTCCTGTGGCCCAAGAGGCGTTGTCGCAGGCCCTGCGCTAGCTCCCCACCCTGCTGTTCCCAATCCACCGGTTATTCCGCAGTTTCCCCCTTTGCTTCTGATGGGGACCGCTTGGTCAAACTCAGAGAGACCTTGCTTTTGTATACCCCCACTGACTTCGGAAGCTTCGAAAATAAATTGACCTTAGCCATTCTGATAGAGAAAAATGTGGAAGCTACTTTACTAGAAGATGGATTCAATGCCGATCGTATCCGCCTGCAACTCAAAGAAATACGAGGAGTGCTTTTCTGCCATCCAAAAAGGTCCTTCCTTCTATCTTTGATACACTGGAACCCTATTTAAATGAGATACAAACAGAGGGGATGCGGAACAACACTCCATATCGGAAGGTCATGCAAAAAATTAGTCGGTATAACATTGTATTGTGGTGACCGAGCGAAAGAGGGGGCCAAATTTGGGTTGGGGAATAGAGCCATAAGCGCGGTGGGGGGTGACAGAGGACGTGCTCGTACGGTTCATATAAGGATGTAATAAAGTACTTTTTTCTTGGGAACTTTCAGTCCTCTATATTCGAAATATGCCTTTCTAGGAGCATTACGATCTGCAGCTCAAACGGTCCCCTATGAAGTCTCTATTGGCCTTATTCTTATTGTGCGCCTTCTGAGCGCGTTTGGATCCACGAAGGCAATCGCTCGGATGTTCCCCTAACCCAACCCGGAAACAGTCCAGAGGGAACCGCAACATGGGGAATGTCCGCGTCTCGTCGCAAGGCTCATTTTTAGTTGTGGGTCATAGGGCGGGCAGCTTTATCTGATCAAGGGCCGGGGCACAAGGGTCCTGGTACTATCCAGGTGCGAAGAACCCCGGATGTGACTGCAATGAGCAGAAATCTCAGTCACGGGCCTAAACGACGAGAAAACAGTTGAACGTGAGAGGCTGAGAGCAAGGGATCACCTAACGAATGGACGAGCTCAAAGGGGGGAGAGAGGCAAGAACCATGCTTTCAGAGAAGTGGTCGTCCGAATCTTATCTGAAATGCGAGAATAACTGACTAAGCCGTGCCATAAGGGGTCATTCTCCAAACGGGACGGGGCCAAGCCTTTAGGGTGTTTAACTAGGTTGGGTGACAGATCGGCCATAGGAGTACTCCGGGATATAAACCAGGGCAACAAAAGTGGGAGCATACGAAGATACCGCCCGTTTTCATTTCATGGAAGTCCTCGGTAGAGGAAAGGGCTGTAGGTAATGGCGTGTTTCTTATCTCGAGAGGGGCGGTTCATTCCTCTCTATTGGTTCGTGCGTGGCAACTGGTATATGATGAAAGGCGGGCCGCTTTATCGGGACCTATTCTCTTAATAGGTGGAAAAGCGAAATAGGAAAGGGGCCGAGCTGACTGATGAGTGTCTTTTTAGCCTTTAAAATTCTCTCATGTGGAGCAAACATGACAGGATACATATAAGTATAGCCAAATCAAGATGAGATGGGACGGAGGCCGTAGCGGGACTACCATAGGAAAGCCCGCCCCCGCTAGCAAAACTGTAATCTAATGAAGGGTGGGCATGTTGGTCAATGCTAGCTTGTTTGAAAGCAGAAAAAAGAGAAGAAAAAGAATGCAAAATGGGACAAACTACTTCAGTTCAAAATTCAAAGTTTCACACTGTGGGCAGTAAAATTGTTAGTCAAATTTAAAAAAAAAAAAAAAAAAAAAAAAAAAAAAAAAAAAAACCAGTAGCCAAAGTAGTGTAAGAGGTGCACATGCAAGAAAGGAAAAGTGGTGAAATGCTCAGATGATTTGGTTGCCATTTCTGTTTGCTTACTAGCAGAAGCGTCATCATACAATCAACAACAAACAATTTTTTCCACTTTGCCCTACACTCAATTACTGTGTTTTCTCTTAATATTGTAAATTAGATCGGTTCAACTTACACTATAAATATGAATAATAAAAGCATAATAATGAGATGCGATATTTTATGTGAAAACTCAAAAGTAAAGAGAGACGCATCTTTTTGGGCTGACCCAGACCAAATTCCATTGTTCACTAAGTCGAAAACCTTGTTCCAACCACTTTTGATATCCGGAAAAATTTTTGTTGCTATTTCTGATCACTTTTTGCTTTCAACTTAATTTAAGATCAGGTGATCAGAAATTCCATAATTTCCAGCAGTGGTTGTGTTGTACATGTGCATTTTAGCGTGAGAATGTATATAGATTAAGGGAGATTGAGAAGCTAAGGGTTTCAACCTCATGAGGTCATCATGATGCTCTGAGTGGTACAATACAAGTTGTGAGAAGAAGATCTCCTTATAATGAGAAATTCTATTCACAC